AAATAAATAAATAAATAAATAAATAAATAAATAAATAAATAAATAAATAAATAAATAAACCCAAACATCTAATTTTTCGTCTGAAGTTGTGGGGAAAAAACTTACACATCACCGCAGGGTCGCAACTACATATTATTCAGGTGGATGCGAACACAAAAATCCACCCCCCCCCCCAAAAGGAAGGGACGGGAGGATGAAGGAGCACATTTCTCAGGTGGAAGCGAACACGATGTACGTTCACTCTCCATAGACATAATATAAGAATATATATATCTTATATTATGTCTATGTCGCTCTCGCGAAAAGTGATCCCTCACGAGGGATCTTCGGGCTTAAGAGGTTTTAATTAAAATACCCACTTCTAACAAGTATGGATATTTTATTTGTGCCTCACCTTGATATTCTCGGTTATTATGTCTGGGTCATCACAGATCGATTCTACAAAAAACACCTGTAAATAAGAAATAATTTCAACATTTTTGTAATTTTAGTACATTGAAGTCATTATTTACATTACTATGAAAAGGTATTTGCCTCCTTCTAGACTTCCTGATTTTGTTCCGGTCTTACACTTTGGAAATATTTTATAAGATCAAACTAATTTGTATAATTACCCAAGGTTATCCTGAGTAAATTTCAAAAATTTATTTTCAAGTGATAATTTAATTTATTAAGGGAGAACATCCTACTCAAACAAGTCACAAATTATTAGTCAAACAATCTCTTGCAAAGTTTTCTTTTAAGAAAGCAGAACTGATGTTTCTGAGGTATTTGGGTCCAGAAGCAGCTAATTTAGCTTATAGCTACATGTAGTTGGACTGGTAACTTTATTGTCTCTTCAGTCCCCAGATTGTTTTTCTCAAAAGCTTTGGGGCTCATCAAAATGTTTTTTCTCTGGTAATGTCATCGGACTTTTGTACTTTTCAATCAGCTGTTGCTTTCAACTTGTAAATCTTCCACTGATGCAATTTTTGCTCAGTTTTTGTTATGACTTTCACTGATGAATGTGAAGGTTTTTTACTGTTTTATGTTTCCTTTATTTTGCTGGAGTAGCAAAGCATTAGAAATGGCATTAACCCTTTCAGGACTGATAGATGTTTCACATTTCTCCTATATTACAATAATGCTATACTAAATGAAATAATTTAAAACCACATTAAAAATAAGTGCTTTGATATATAAAAATATACAAAATTCAGGCAGTAAATGGATATTCATTGTTTAATATATTTACTTATTGCCTCATTTGACAGAAAATAACATTTATCTAATGAGTAGCTAACAAATGATTAGTAAATTCAACAGTATTCCAAATAAAAATACGAAAAGGGTTTTTTTATGTTAAGAAGTACAAATATCAGTAGTAGAGATTCCAAAAATGAGTTTGTCATTTACCTTATATCCTTTTTCTTTTGCAAAACTGTTGATGACGGCCCTCCTCTCTCTCGTGGTGTTAGTAGCATCAAACACCTGCATTACATGTTTCCATCACTATCAATACTCATATTGTTTTTAGCACTTCAGATGAAAAATTACCATCTGAAACACCCAGATCAGGCAGTAAGATCCACAAATAATGACAAATTCTCTAAAATATGTGAACAGCTGCCAAAAAAGTCAGAATGTTTTGTTTCACTTTATTGTCTGTCCTCCAAAACAACAAAATCATGTTGGACAGTAATTAGAAGGAAAGTTTTAATTAGTAGTTAACTTACGGCTACTTGTCCATGTTCTTTTGTGAAGTAGGCAGCGACGTCTTTGAGTGCAGCTGAAGCGCAGGCCCTGAGAGAGAAAAGGCAAACTTGAATGGGCAACACTGACAAAAAATGGCAAGATAACGATGTATTTAAACAGTTTTGACATGATAACGTTCATACAGAAGTTCTTTACAGAAAAATATACAGTATTATTACAGTTGGGCACTGTGGCTAACAGGTGACAAAGAAATAAAAAGTGATATTTCAGTATAAATAGTGCTAAGGTGTAATAGTCTATAATCAAAATGATGACAGAAAAGAGCCCAACAATAGAGCCTTGAGGAACCTCTATCTGATCTTTTAATAATACAGTTAATAGAAATTAAAATTGCTCTACAAGAAGAAAAGGAAGTATAACAATTTAAATTATACTCCATCAACTTGTTGATATAACAGACACACTCTCAGTGTTTCAAGGCATTGTAATAATGTTGTGGCAGAAATATAAAGCTGTATTTCATCAGAAAAATAAAATGCTCTGAGAAACGGGAATCATGTTAATGCTGAACAAATGTGGCCTAACAACAGAGCCTTGAGGAACACCACATGTAATATTGGTTTGCTCAGATTCATAATTTCCAAATGACAAAAATCACTCCCAGTTAGCCAAGAGAGGCGAACCAGTTTAGATCACAAATCTGGTCAAATGCTTAAAAGTAAAAGAAAAATCAACTGTTGTTCAGTTTCATGAGTTTTCATGAGCTTTGCACTCACTTGCGGATCCTCATGGCCTCTTCGTTGTCAGGTTTAAAAAACTCAAAGTTCTTGTAGGTCTTGACTGCCTCTCTGCGGTACTGGCCCACATTAAAAACTGGTGGAAATTCAAAGAGAATATCAGAGTTTGAGAATGCAGCATTCAAATAAATGTTATATAAATTAAAAAAATTAATAAATGTAAGAATTTAAAGGTTCAAACTGACCTTTTGTAGGAACTCCGATCCAGTTTAGATATCGAGTGAGCTTCTTAGAGATGTATGTCTTCCCTCTGGCAGGTAATCCCACCATCACAATCACCGTTGGGGAGTTGCAGAACTGAGGCACAGACGCTAATAGGAAAACATGCACAGAAAAACACAGAGAGGATGTAATTCTGGACTGGGTCAGTGGTTAAATATTCAGGAAATCAACATCTGTTAGGTGCAATCCAGCTCGGTAGGGCTCAGTGTTGCTGGAGGTTTGTGTCATTAGATAATTAAACTTCATTAATAGAACAAGAGTTACACAAGGAAACTCACATTTCAGCAAAGCAAATCTGGATTTCAGTGAAAACTCTTAATAACAGACATCAAATGCTTTGCTTCAGACTCAGATTTGACAATAAGGAAAATAAAACCTGATCTTCAAATCATTTATTTTTCTTATCCAAACATTATGGAGCTGGGTAAAGTTTGTCACTCCTTTAGCTACAAAAGATACCAGTGAATTACAGGCAGAAACTTAAAAGAATGAGTTTGTTGACCCTTTGCACTTGACGCTCCTCAGAAATCTGCCCACTCTGCCATGATGAGTGGCATGGCAGAGTGGGCACTGGTTGTCGAAACAACCAGTGCGCTCCTTTAAAGCCTGTTGAAGTTAAAGCCACAATATTGTTCCAGTGTCTCCTTGTTTACTTTCAGTAACTTAGTTTTTAGTTCATACGTTTCTTTTTCACTAGATGCTCCTGTTCATCTGATGTTGATGAATTGAAGGAATACTTACAATAACCCACACAAAGTCTGATAAACGATGACCTGTAATTTTCTCCTTGAGCAGGTATGGAACAAGCTAGCTACTTCACATCAAATTTTTTTCTGACCTCCTGTCACACAGTACTTCCACTAGAGGGAGCTTTACACAAAAACATGCTAAAAGAAAATCTTACTATTAAAGAAATATCTAAATATGCAATAATTACACACAAATAACCATAAACAATGTTACAAAATTAGATTTTTGGACCTTAATATTCTGAGCCTGTTCCAGATGATAATGCTAGTTAGAACACCCACCGGTGTTGGTGGCTAAACGGTTTTCCTGTAACAGCGAGTTGTTTCTCCAATATTAGCACATTTAGCAGCGAGTACATGAGTTCGATTGCCAGCGCTAATACCCTCCTCCTGCCTCTGATTGGTCATTTTTGGTCGGGAGCTGTGCATTTCTGCAAACAGCAAGAATAACTCAAGGAGGAGATTTATCTTTTCAAAGATTATGTGTCTCATATTAAAGTGTCACTTCATGGTGACAGTTTTAACAAACATTTAAAAACACATTCTTTACAAAAGTTGCATTCTCAGCTTTAAAAAAATATCTAAATATACAATAAGTATATAATAACCATACACAATAATAAACAATGTTACAGAATTAAATTTTAAGCTCTTACAGAGGTTTCATCAAACGTTTACCTCAACATGTGTTCCCAACCTGTGTTCAGAAACATCAGCATTTAACACCTCTGCAGGAAGCGTTCAACCAAAAGGCAAATGCTAAAACTAAATAAAAGTTTTACTGGAATCTCACTTCAGAAGTAAAGTTTCTTCACAGGACTTACATCCTCTCCTGCGATTCAAGTTATATCCCATGCACGGCACCCAGATCTTCAGCAGAGGGGTCTGTGTGAGGTTTTTATGCTCTGTGGACATGGTACAGTGAACGAGTGAACGGCCGAGGTGCACTGTTCTGTGTGCTTTCCTGAAACTACATGGAGATCAGCAGATCAGCTGACTGTTGCTAAGGGAAAACACTTGGCGAGCAGGAGACGCAGAGGACCTGAGGCCAGACTGCTAGTCTGCCTTACAATCTGTTTCATTATTAAAAACTCCTTGTAAGAGCTGCCAAAGCCTCTTCTTTGACCTCAGACAGCAATAAGTCATGTCTAATTATTCCTAATGTTTTATACTGTAAACTGGTGTGTGAGAGAGAGAGAGCAACATGTTGTAATAGTTGAGCAAGTAACACAAGAAGGAACTTCTCATGAATTTAGATGAGCACGTTTGGCTTTGTTTATATGGGAAATTCCTTCAACTCACCACCAGAGGGCAGGTTTCCCTCTGGTGGTGTGTTATTGTATATGCCTCACACAGAGGACATGTTTTACCACTTTCACCCACAAACTGAGGTCACTGTAGAAAGTGAGGTTCAACTGCATTTTTTTTGGCTAAGGTTGAGGTTAGGAACAAATTAATAATAGTTTCAGTTATTGAGAATATCTGGGTTAGTCATCCCTCCAGTTATTAAGTGAATAGAAGTCAATGGAAAGTCCTCAGGTTGATGGAAGTATCTCTGTGTGTGTGTGTGTGTGTGTGTGTGTGTGTGTGTGTGTGTGTGTGTGTGTGTAACCATCTAATTAGTAGAAATGCAAGCTATATTGCCAGTAGAAAGTGTCCTCTATGTGGTCCGGTTTACTTTTGCATTGCAGTTTTATAGAACACCAACAACTCAGCTGGTCATGTGTCACCATGAGCAAACCCTGCAGGCGAACTGCAACAGGCCTCACTTGCAAGAAAACTTTTTTTTTTTTTAACAGAACCACAGTTTTTTTTTCTGTTCAACTTTTATACGTTCCTTGGCAAAGATGGGTGTTTGAGGAAACAAATTTGGGTCAAATCACTAAAGTGTGTAAGCCCTTAAAACAAGTGGAAGCAGGTTTAACTTACTTACAGTGTTGCATCTGAATGAATCAGAAGATGTCTGCCTTTTTAAATGCATACATTTTATTTAAATATGCAGCTTTATTAATAAATCAGATTAGTCTTTAGTTTGGCTCTTCTGTTACTGAGCTGATAAGAAAATGTTTTCAGCTACTTATCAGGATATCTTTCAGCACTTACATTTAGCCTGTTCCTCTATTGTAATCTGTAATCTATGGTTTTAAAATTCCACTGACTGCTCATATGTGATGTCTACTGTAAATGCTGAACCACCATAATGTCATCACTGCTCAGAATCTGTCAAACGGCAGAAACAACCATCAGGGTTTTTTAGAGATTCATGCAATTGTCAGGCATGTGTAAGTTTTGTTTGTGCAAATGCAGAATAGGGGTTTCTTGACACACACAGAAAGTCATCTTAGTCACTTCAATCCCTCCTTTGTTTGATTGCTATGATTGGAAGAAAGATGCTTTTTTATACCATTTTTTTTCCAAAAAAAAAAAAACCACAGAAACTACTGAATTTTAACATTTACATTCATTCTGAAAACATACAACCATTTTTTTCCTAGTTTTTACTGCAAGCTGAAATCGCTGAGTACGACTGATATGACAACTACGTCCTACGTCTCATGTTAAAAATACTCAATAAACACAAAAATGGGAAATTTCCATTATTATTACAGGATGACTGTGCCACCTCTTAAAGTTGCTGATAATAATCAGGTAACATTTTCCATCACACAAGTTCTTAGTTATTTTCCGTTGTTTGTCTGAACTTCCTCTCTATTGGACAACAACACATTTCCGTCTTAAGTTCCAACTTTTAAAAATACTACTGATGACTGGCTGATCTGACGAATGTGAAGTCAGACTTGTACACATTAAAGTTTCTGGTTTGGATGTTGTAAATAGATGCTCAGCTTACATTTTGTTATGTTTTGTTGGGCTTAGTTTCTGTTTAATGACACTTTTACAGTAATGTTTCTTATTCATTTTCAGTTTGTTCTCTGATTCTGAGAGTTAAAGCACAAGGGAAATTTTATGTTTCTAAGAAAGATTTACACCATGAGATAATTTTTGCTGTTCTTAAGATATATTCAAGTTTACTCAGACTAGAAAAAGTCATCTGACGCTTTCCTTGCAAATGGATTTGATCACATGGTGGCTAACTATAATTAGCTTTATAATTAGATGATAATGTACTTCTGCTTTACAGGATGTAGCAATGAATTCACAGTCTGCAAACCACAAAACATGAAGTCAAAGACGTCCAAAGCATAACGATCCATCTGTGGTAATCATGCAAAACAAAACCCATCTAGGCTGAATCCCTTCAATACAAGAACATCAGTTCAGCTGCTTGAACCTGGGATCCTGACTTATGTCCTAAAATATTCTGTAATTCAGTCATATACATTTCATTCACACTAAAAACTCTCTTGATGAAAATATTTTCTGCTGAACAGTTTCAAAAAATAGGCTACCTGCTTTTTAAATGCAAACTACCTAAAATAATGCCAACATCAGATCAAGTCATAAGTTTTTCTCCCAAATGATCTGGTTTTATGTTTTAAAAGACCAAGAAGAGAAAGTATTTGCATATTTTGTTTCTATTCCCTACTAAGAAAGTATTAGCATCTGAGCTTGACAACCAATTATACTGTCTACCTTTGGGAACAGCATATTTAAATCCACAATTCAAAGATCTCCAATAAAATATGTGTGTTCTGCTTATGAACTGCACGTAACGTTCTTTGATATTTGAGCCTTCAAGAGTTCAACCAAACCAACCGTAAACAACAGCAGCACAGACTTTCATCACTGTCTTCTCCGTCCCCTTTTATACACTGGCTACTGCAACAAATTGAGGAAAATCCATGTATTGCAATGAATCTTTTCCTTTTTTTTAATCTTGCAGAAGAAAAACAACCTTAAGCTTTGGAGACTTGGACGATGTCAAGCGTCATGCACCCCTTAGATATTTTCTCTTAAAGTGCATTAGGGTTTTTATTACAAGTCATCAAGGTAGCTGTGGAGAAAATAGTGAAATTTTGATTAAACTGATTAACTATGATGGACGTCTGTTAACTTTGTCTCTTAGTCATGCTTCTTTGAAGTCTCGACAGTAAAGCAGAGAAGTTTTACTTGATTTACGAAGCATGACGGCACAGATGTTGTTTTTTAAACTCTGCTGAACCCAGTCAGCCTGAACACACTCAGGTGTTACACATTAATAGATAACTGTGCAATGGCATGCTCCCCAGAAAGGGCTCACCTGCACTGTCACACCTGCGGCGCCTTACATATTCCAGATGGGAAGGCTCCATTCTTTCTAACGCTTCCACTGAAGCAACCAGTGCACCATCACAATCACAAACAGGATCATGTGGCAGCACAGATCTTTTTAAAGACACGGATCCCCCCCTGCCAATGCATTCTCAAGCCAAGCCCCCTGCTCTCTAAGCCATCACTTTCCACGGCCTACGGGACATACGATAGCAGCACGTGGGCTTGTCCTTTAATGTTTGCCACGGGCAAAGTTCACAATGTACACACACTGCTGGGAGAAGCAGTACTCAGAGGGAACTCTGTAGAAAAGGCAAAAGGCAATGAGAAGTTGACTGTTACCTCACATTAAAACAATAAGACTGTCAGCATTTCCACTGCAAAGGAAGCCTACACAGTCTTTAGAGGTGTTCCTTTTGACAATTTGACAAGTGCCTTGCAAAAGTCTTCCCATCCCTTGACCTTAACATTTTGTCACATGGTAACCACCAACTTTAATGTATTTTTTAGGGTCCCTGTGCTTTCAAATCCAAAGAGTTACTCATGCTCTGTCTCTCTTAAACAACTTAAGGGCCTGAAAATAATCCTTGTAGGGTTTTTCATTGTAGAAATTACATATAGACATTTATTGCCTCTACAATGATTTATAAAAACACCTAACTTATAAGTCCATGGGGAGTTACATAACCTCCTGAGGTAAAGTTATTGCTAACTTTCTGTGTTACCAATAAAATGTGAAAAGACTTTTTGTGCATTTGTATTTACAGTGAACTCCCACCCATTGGTGCTTTCCATTTTTGCAGATTCACCTGTTGGTGGATTTTTCAGTGAAACGTGACTCCAAGAATTAACCCGTCAATTAGCTGATTTATTTTATTTTATTTCCCCAGACAACAGCTAGAATATTTTAAAGAAACTGCAGCTTGGTAAGCTGAAATATCAAGGTGCAGTGCTATTTGACACAATTGACTGGTATTTGCAAAACAACCAACACAATCCAGAAGTGCCATTTATTTTCTCTGGCTCTGATTGGCTGAATCTTCAAGAGCGGAAATAAGTGAGACTGTGGATGTTAGCTTCAGCGGAAACGCTAAGATGGTTTCCACTGTGTGTGTGTGTGTGTGTGTGTGTGCATGCGTGTGTGTGCATGCGTGTGTGTGTGTGTGTGTGTGTGTGTGTGTGTGTGTGTGCGGATATTAAAGATGTATTTGTTGTTTTAATTATTAAAAGTGACTGCATTTTTGTACTTCCGTTTGGGTTTCTACCACTTCTAAAAACGTCACAAACACTTAAAAATGTTTTAAGATCAGGTTTTATTTTCCTTATTGTCATGTTTTGGTAAAAACTTAATGGTTTTTGGTGTCTAAAAAATGACCCGTTTCAAAAACCTTCCTATTGTTAAGCCACATTCGACGGGCACTGCGCTGTTATCTAGCTACCCTAGCAAAGTTCCAGCACATTTTGTCAGCTGGTTTACCGCTGTTTGCACTGTAGAATGGCTGCTGGAAAAGACAAATGTTTTGTTGTTGACTTACCATTCAGAAACCACTGCTGCATTCTTGTTGGTTGTGCAGGAGGCTCCACTTCTGCTTTTCAAAGATGCAATTGCACAGCTGTTTCCATGTGCGAGTGTAAACACTGAGTTGGGGGAGTCGGACCTAATGCTCTTACAATTGTGATTCAATTGCCCTTACAATTATCTTGCATAATTTTCCTTCCAATTATTCACTTATCTGTTGCATAAAATCTC